GGCTCTGCCTGTGTATGGAACAAAGCCATTTTGATTCCCTCTTCATTTTTCTTCTGTGCCTTTTCAAATAGGGAAGTTATTGTTGTCAATTGAAATTGATTTAGTGCAATTGATGTTATAATATAGATGGTACCCCTTGTATTGTTCTGAGACAAAAAAAAGTGAAATCAAAGATTAAAATGGTTACATTAGAGATAAATATACAATAAATTAAAGGAAGTGTTCTATCTGCAAACTTATTACTCAAGACTCTTAAAAATATTGATCTATCATAATCAGTTATACAGACAATGTTTAAAAAGCTGTAGGAGGAAGACTTTTCAACATCCATATATTATCTTCTGTGCAACATTCATGTTGAAATTATTAGATGTAATAGCACTTCATGTCAGTTCATGGTCATAATAGTTGCTATAGTGGATTGATTGCAATGTCATAATAACCCAGCTGTTTTTGACCTAAAAATGTACTTCCATCAAGTAATTATGTCGATTGACTCACCTATCCCATGTATTTGTCAGTGGTTAGTGGGAAATGCTAATTGATTTCCATCTATGATTTGAAAGATATTTAACACCCACGACTCATAGAGGCAAATTAAGGAGTACAGTTTTAAAATGGATTGTTCTCTGATGGTTGCTTGCACAAGTATGAGTTATTTGATATTTTGTTTAGATCTGCATGCCAGTAAAACTCAGTGCTGTTCTTTTTTGCTTGTTAAAGTTTAGGCACAAACTTTAGGCACACATAGTTTAGGCATCTTTAGCTAGGGCGATCAGACACCTTTTGTTAGATGTAGGGTTATTAAATATTGGGCATTGCACTAACGGTCCACCAATTGATGTATTCAGGGAATCGGGTATGCATCGAACTGGGATATTTCATTCAGCCGACAAAAGTCATTGCAGACCTGCACAGTGCTGCCCAGTTTAAATCGGAAGATAACTGCACTTGTACCAGGGGTTCATTCGTTGGGTTGGAGTGCCCTTGGACAGCTGTACAAGCCT